TGGGCGGGGGCCGGACAGCCACGGCCACGCCGCCGGGAGCGCGCACTGCGCGGCAGGGCGCAGGCCGGGAATGGGGCTCCGCCAGGCCAGGGGACCCCGTCCCGCCCGGCCACAGCCTTTATCTGCCCTCGGAGTTGCGAAACCTGCCCCGCACTCTGGCCTCTCTCCTTTCGGGAATGGAGAGTGGGATGCTCAGGGGGAGAGCCCCCTGAGGCTGGAGGTCTCCGCGGAGCAGTCCCCCAGCCCAGTCTTGGCAACCCTTGATCCCTTCTCCGACCGCCAGCCCTTTCCTTCTGCTCGCTGCTGCGCCCCGAGGCGACCGTGGCCTCCCGGCGCAGCTCACGGGGCCAGATCAGGCACGTGGCAGCCGCGGTCGGCCGGGACGGCCTCTCTTCCGAAAAGATGAAATCATTGCAGGGCAATGGACGAAGCTCCGGACCTGGGGCTCGAACGCGCGGCGTCCGGGAGGCAGGTGGCCTTTCCCTCTGCTGCCCCCGAGCGAACTCAGTCGAACCTCCCCCTCCCCCTTCCTGCTTCCGAGCCGGGGTTCCGCTGCCACAACGCTGTGCAGGCGCGCCGCAAGCCCAGACCGAAATTGCTGGGTGACACTTAACTTTCTGAATTCCATGCAGTTGGCTGTGGGTGATATCACCGCTTTGGTGTCGTGTTTCTCCGCCCCTTCTTTTCTAGCGCCCTTCCCCCGACTTTTCTCGACACTTTGTTTTGCTGAGTTTCTCCCCCTTTTTTTTTTTTTTTTTTTTTTTCTTTGCTAGTTCTGAAAAACGATGCGGGGACGTTATACAATCTCGTTGTTTGTATCATGAGATGTTATGGTTTTGTAACAGTGAATACTGGTAAATACTCTTTGGCGTATTTATTTATTTGGTTCCACCCCATACAGCACGTCGTGATGTTTTTCAATGTTGTGTGGTATTATCTAGGATATTTTAAACCAAGCGTCTAAGTAAATAATTTTTAGCTGTTGGTTGAGTCTGGTTTCTATCTAATTTATGTAAACAAGCTCTCACAAAAGACAAAGAAAAATAAAGTGGCAGCACTGTCCAGATGCATAAGGATACATAGTTATTGCTACATTGGGAGAAATCAATTTTAATGTTTTCATAAACATAACTCCTTTTGCAGTGCTTCTGAGGTCTTATTGTGAGGTTAACTAGAATAATATTTCTGAATTCTTTAAAAGGTATCCAGTCTAATGTAAATACTAAAACTTATTTCTTCAACTAGCTTTAAAGCCAAATAAAAAGTGTGTGTTTTTCTAACTTCAGAAAATTTTCACAATGTTGTAAACTCACAGAGCTATTTATCACTCTAATAAGTAAAGCCAATGATGGGGCTTATTGGGACCCAAAGACATTGACTGAGTTGATCCACAGGAAGCCTTCTTAGCATCTAAAACGTATTGACTTGTGTCTTCATGGTATGAAAGATAAAGAAAAAAATGCTCTTCTCAATTTGTTGGGGCTTACTCTCATTCTTCAAAGTTTACTTTTAGCTGTAAAAATTTAATACAAACCCTTGATCTTTAGTAGGGCTCCCCATGTTTAGCCACCTTCCCCTCTGAAGCTGTTTGAAAACTTAACATCCAGTTGTCCATGGTCCTCAGGTTCTTTGCAGAATGTGAACACGAGCGTTAGAAATGTTATCAGTGTTGTTTGTGAGATTGTCCGCTGGATTAGAAACTGGGAAATTTCTTTATATAAATAGGGCAGGTTCTGTTATATAGGCTGACCATATACGTTGTCCAAAATCAGAACACTCTTGAGAATGAGAGGGGGCACTATTAATAATTATGCTGGGACAACTGGCTTAAGCCTTGAATGTCTGGGGCAATCTGGGACACGTGGTCACTCAGTCGTACAGAACAGTAAACAGAGTGACACAGAATCTTTAAACGTCCTTAGAAACATCTCCGGCTGTAACTTGCACAGTGCCTGGAGCATGTGTGTGCACATGTAGTAAACTGTACCCAGTTTTTCTCCAGCTTTTCTTGGCCTTTTTAGTGCTGTTTGCAGTAGTCTTTATTTAACACCTAACACATGCATGGGGGATTGGTATAAATTGTTTATGATCTTTTCCCAGAGAGAAGCTAGTCTGGTGTTTAAGTACCAACTAACCTACCTCTCTCTATAAACAGAGCCTCTGTTCTCAGTAGTTTCATTGTCATAGCTATTATTGTCATTGCTATAATTGTTTAGTTCTTCTATGTGCAGGCTCTGTGCTGAGTGTTTCACAGACATTATCCATTCAGTATTATGAGGTGGGTACTAATACTATCCTAATTTTACGGAGGAGGGAACTGACGCATAGAGAAGTTAAAAACTAATCCAAAGACACTCAGCGAGGTGGGAAGAAAGGCTTGGACTTACAGAACCCCCTCCACCATCCCAGACTGTCTCCCTAGATTTTTGATTTTTGATTTTTAATGAGTCAGTCAAATATATAAAACACTTGGTAACTGAATTTGGAAGCAACAGTTAAATATTGTGTCAGTATCATTCTTGATCAGTGTAACTCTGTAGAGGTTGATTCTGATAGAGTTCAGATAGTGACTTTCAGAACAATGTATTTGGGGAAAGAGAATTTAACTTACAGCCTCTGCAACAGACATCCTTTTTCTTCCTCATTAGAAGTTTACTATGGGGAAGAAATTGATCCCTTCAGGACTTGAGTTTAAATGTCTTATACATCATATACACCTTGGTTCTCTGTCAGGGTGGAACTGTAGCTCAGGTGAAGTTCTAAAATCAGGGTGCATGAATCCCCAAGGAGAGATGGGTGGTGGAGGGGCGACATAAGGTGGCAGCCTGTGTACCTGTGTCTCCTCTGCTCCTTTGGGAAGGCAGCACGCCCTAGGCCTCAGAGGGCCTGAGAACTCCACTTGAGCTCTGGTGCAGCTTTTCAAAAACACTTTGAGGCACATTGCAATGTTCAGTGGAGAGTGATGTTTAGTGTTCCAGTGTTATTTTTCAGGGACTTTGGAAACAGAAATATTTATTACTGTATCTGTCTCTTTCTCTGCTTATAGATAGAAAGATGAATATGACGTGATCCCTAATATAATTTCAAATAAATATATCACATGTATACAGATGAATAGTGGTGGTTGAAGGGAAGTAAAAATTACCTCCAGCTTGAAGAAATAGATGGGGAAAGATTTCCCAGGAGAAGTTGGCATAGAGTCAAGTTGAGAGAGGACATTTGTGAGTGGAGACATAGCGGTATGGAATTACACAGGCGTATCCAGAGAATTATCTTACGGTTCTGCTGTTAGCATGGGATGTAGAGGGAGAAAAGTGGAGGGTAAGACAGGGAAAAGAGGCTGAGAGCATGGACTGTGTGCTGGTGGCCGAGGAAGCCATGGGGGTTCTTTCGGGATGGGATGACAGAGTCGGAGCCCCACTCTGGGAAGATGAACAGGCAGTGATGAGCAGGGCAGTCCAAGGAGGCTGAAACGGCAGGTGAGGCAATCACCTTGAAGGCTCTCTGCAAAAGTCCAGATGCCCAGTTGTGAGGGCAGGAGAAAACAGAAAGACCTAGAAATGTATAGGAGATACTGAGGCAGAATGCTCAAAAAGGGGAAGTATTAGGATCCCCAGAACAAGGGGCCAGAATGAAAACAATGAGCTCAGTGTTCCACTGCCTCAATCCCCTCAAAATATTAAGATTTTATTTTTTATTAGCAATACCCTTACTTTTATACCTGCCCATCTCTAATAAGAATGCTTGTTTTCTGTACCCAGGATCAATGCATGCTAAGTGTACTGGGAGCACCACTCTCTCCCAGTCCACACATTAAAATTATGTCTCTCACTAATAGTTGAGCTCTTGCAAAGAATTACTCTTAAAAAATCACATTGTTTTTAACAGCAAGGGTAAATGCGGCATCAAGAAGGCATGTTCTTTGCATTAAAGAGAATAAGCTTGCCTATTATTATTATTATTATTATTATTATTATTATTATTATTAAGCAGTGTCCTGGTCTACAAAACCAATGGTGTGTGTAAAGGTCTCTTGTTCTGAGGGAAACACACACATACAACTTTCAGATTTTTGGTAAGTAAGCTTCAGGCAGAAAGCAGCGATGTCTGATCCGGAGGGAATTTCCTTTGCTGAGAGGTACATCGCTGCACAGAATACAGGCCTGGCTCTTATCAGTTTAGGGAAAAATCTCACTCAGAAGTAAGTTGAGGGGGGAAATTTAACTTTCTATCTGTTCAGTAGATAAGATCTTTAGAACAAAGTGAAAAAGTAGACTTGTGAACCGATACTTTTTTCTTCCCTTTCTCTAACTTCTATAAATATTTAAAATCATGCTGCAGACAGATACACGGTACATTAGCTAGGGTAGCATTATAAACACAGAGCAGTCATTCAAGTTAATTTTCCCTGTTGTTTGGGCCTGGTGCTCACCCTCTGTTTAGTGGAACTGGCCTGGAAGGCTGTTGGCTGACTTGGCACATTTTACAAATTGACCTCAATCAGAGCAGGGAGGACTAGTGTTTCTCTTTGAGTTAGGTAACACTTGGAAGGGATAGGAATTTGCAACCAGGATATGCTGTTGAAAAACTTGGTAATTCTATGAGAATTATCTTAACCACAAAGTCTTCCACTTCTCTACCATAGGCCTGCGAATCCCTACCTTTTTAGAGGTGACCTTTTCCACCATCAGTAAGGAAGAAAGAGTGTCCAGCTAGTTTGCCTTTCTCTAAAGACAAAGGGAATTGATGGATTTGGGGAAGGGGCTTTTAGCATTCATTCAGCATTTGTGCAGAGTGGTTAATGTATCTCTAGGGCAAGTCATGGAGCACTGGCACTCTCATAAGATGGGGGTTGGGAAATCGTTGTGAGGTTTAAATTAGATAACAGGAAAGCACATAACCCAGTGCCAGATACACAGTTGGTATGCAAATCATTTTTTCCTTCTCTATATGTCAGCATCCCTCCTCATTAAATTGACTCTTACTGACATGACAAAATATTACATGATCTTGTTGTCCAACTGGCATTTGAACAAGAGTTATACTAGAGTCTATTCTAATACTCATGTGGAAGGGATCTGTGAGGGCACGAAACCCAATCTCTTCTCTGCCCGCATTTCTTTGTTTGAAAGGTCTCTGTTGTTATTGTTTTGGTTGTGGCTGTTGTTTCAGATACAAAGTTCTACTGTTAGGAAAACCACTCCAGGCTTAAATATTCAGAATGAAAGTCTGGAGTGGTCACAACCTTGAATTTCTAGTTCCCTTAATTGATCATATTCTATGGATGAAAAGAAAACAAAACAAGCCAAAAAGAGGATCCTGCTGTGGTCTGATAGATGATTTCAGAACTTTCTCAAAACAAGCAACCTAAAAACCTTTAGAATGGCAGGAAAGAGTCACATGTCCAAACACTTCCTTCTAAATGCACAAGGTCACCTAAGAAATGTCCATCGTTCAGTGGCTCTTCTCTGTCTCTGTCTCTCTCTCTCCCAAGAGATTAAGAAGGTGACAGGACTTCTCTTCACTGGCCTGTTGAAAGAGGCATTGAAATAAGTATCCTTCATGGAGTGGCGTTGATATTTTTGTTGTCATCTCAATTGGGATCAGTACTGTCCTCAAAGTGCTTTTAGTGTGTTACATGACACTTTCAATTTTCGCTAATATCTAAACATCATTGCTAAGGGTGCATCTTCAGTGTTTTATTCAGAAATAGGACAGGGCTGAGGGAAGGTGGAAATGAATTTACATTGTAGTTTTTTTCCTTAGTGTTCATGTTTATCACATTTCTCTTAATGTTAAATGGAATAACAAATTTTATCAAATATTAACTTTTAAAGTCTGAATATGTAAACTGCAAACTGCTTTGTATGAGGAAGCCATTTTCAACAAATTAGTAAATACGCCAGTATGAGGCTAAAATGATTATTTTGATATTTATACCTAAATCAAAGGTAAGATGCTAAATTCATAGAAATGTTAATGGCTACATTTAATTTGATCCCAACAACATTTCATAAAAGAAAGCTTTTAGCTGTACAATGAGTGTTTTTTTTGTGAAAAGGAAAAAGTGTATTTAATTCATTTCAATGAGAGAAATGTCATCAGTAAATATTTAGTAAATAATTGTCCAAATTATTTTACATGACTTAAGTGTCGTTGGATTACATCGTGTACAGTTGGTTTTTGAGTGAGAAGAAAGCAATTATTGCCTAGTTCCCTGCTGACCATTAATTCCTGGCCCTTGATAGAAAAATATCTATGCTAAGAGGAAAGGAACCATATCAACTGTGATTTATTTAAGTAGTTATTTTATTATAATATGTTCTAGGTAACCTGTTCTGTGCAGTCAGATGTAGCAATAAAACATTGTATTTGTTTACTGTTATTTTGTGTTTATGAAACCAATAACGCAAATGAAGAGATTTTTCAATTTTTTATAAGAATGCTTACTTACCGTCTCTTCCAAGGGATAATACTCTTTTATCATGTTAGAAGAAATCATCTTAGGAGACTAAAGCATTCATTGTGGTGGTATGGTTTGTGTTTTCTTTCCTATCTGTGAGCCATCTGGAAGCCACATTTAAGTGTTTAATGTCCCTACACTGCACACAGTGTTCAATGTTTTCATATCTTTTTCATCCATGACCCAGATTGTGAACCAGGGAAAAGCCAGTAGAGTAACTGCCTTCATTTTCACCAACCTCTGCAAAATCAGCTCACCAGAGTGATTGGGGAGATGTTAGTAAGGCGATTCTTGGGTTTTGTGAAATATGTAGATGGTAATAAAAAAAACCTAAATATTGACTGTAAACATAAATATTAGAATATGCTAGACTGTGACCCAGGAGGAACCAGCAGTTTAAAGATCAGTGTAATAACTGCTGCTGATGTTCAAGATCACTACTTAAATGGCCATGTGGATACTTTGGCTTCATTTAAAATACAAACTCTCTGAACACAGTGGTAGAGGGTATACAACAAGGTTATTACTAAACATTTAAAGCTGAAAGATTTTGTAAAGTAAAGCAGTAAGTTTAAGGTTAAGCTTAAGTTTAAGCTTAGAAAGACAGATTTTGTGTTTGGACAATGAGGTGTATAAATATTAGGGCAGTTTAAAGACGTGACTGTGTCCTCATTGTTTGCATGTAACAAACAACAGCAGGGTTTTCAGACTTGCTAGCAGTCCTCCTCATCATACTATAGAATGACGTATAAGATCATACCGCACACTTGGTGTTCTAGAATTAGACAATTTACAGCAAAGACAATACTTACAGTGTTGTATGTAACAGTGTGATGACTATACAACAGTGTGATGTCAACCACATTTCAGTTAAGCATGTGAGACTGGGGGCATTAATTCCAAATATGAGAAGTACTGTGTGGGGAAGTACTCAGTAAATTGTAATATGCACTGCAGATAATATTGGTGGTAACAACACTCAGTCCTAGGTAAAATGCAAGCTTATTTAAAGTTCATATTCTTTTTTTTTTTTTTTTTTAAGATGACCGGTAAGGGGATCTTAACCCTTGACTTGGTGTTGTCAGCACCACGCTCACCCAGTGAGCGAACCGGCCATCCCTATATGGGATCTGAACCCGGGGCCTTGGTGTTATCAGCACCGCACTCTCCCGAGTGAGCCACGGGCCGGCCCCTAAAGTTCATATTCTGAAATGTGTCTAAGTCCCTCTGTTGTGGACCTGTCAGTTCACAAAGTGTACATAACAATCAAGTTGACACTGCCGATGCAGGGAGGTGACAAATCTTTGAGCATTCTCTATCGCCTCGTGCCAGGGAAGGGACCCTTCGGCAGCTCAGGGGGACTTGCCTGGCAGCATCTGAGTGCTAATGTGACTGCGGATGTTAAGGTTTGCCTTGTGGTTTGCTTTCTCCAGGGCACCTGGATGACGACGGATTACCACATGGGTTCTGCACAGTCACCTACTCCTCCACAGACAGATTTGAGGGGAACTTTGTTCATGGAGAAAAGAACGGACGGGGGAAGTTCTTCTTCTTTGATGGCAGGTACCACTCACAGTTTTGTTTTATTTTGGAGGGTTACTAAATTATTTTACCTGAAGGAAAGATACAAGTGGAATAATTTGAGTGGAAGTTTTTGTACAACTTATACAAAATGTGAAAGTAACCCCAACGTGTATGCACTGCTTTGGTGGTGACCCAGGAAGTCACCCCAGTGGCTATGGGGAAGCCAGCCTAAGGCTTAGCTCTCATCACCGCCACCTCCCAGGGTGTACTTATCAAAGAGACACTCTGCCGTGCCAAATTCGGGGCCCCCATCTTGCACACATTGACTAACCCAGGGTCATCCAATTCTCTGATGGACTTCCCCTTATCATTGAAATAATGCATCTTAATGAAATCAATTAAGAGGGGATTGGTTTTGTCAGTGGCCACCTTGGGCAGTCCTGGTAGTGACCGAGTCACGCTTTTTTCCAAGTGTAGCACACACTTCATTGCATTCAGCCCGCTCTCCCAGTCGTCGTGATCTCGTTTCTTGGTATCCTGAAGGAAGATTCGGTCACCTTGTTGGTTCTTCAGCTTCATCAGTTTCTCAGCATGTTTCCTCTCCTCATGAGATTGGTGAAGAAATTATTTGGTAAAAGTTCTTCAAAGTCATATCGTAACAAGCTAAGTAGTAAGACATCAACAGGTAGCCACAGGAGGGTAGAGCTGTAGACTCACAGTTTTTTAAATGCTTGTCTTTGAGATAATTGGTCTTTTCGTGTGATATCTCAATGCTGATGTCAGGACTAGTATTTTCCAGTCTACCTCCAGTTCAAATATTTTTCACAGCAGGGTTCTTTTTACCTTTGACTCCTGTCTGCGGACACTGTGAGGCCGAGGCTCCTTACCTAACTCTTGTGATAGGTGGGACTGGCTGTAGGACTTTTCTCTTTCAAGGAGAGATTGGGCTGCACTGGCCCAGTTTTTCAACAATGACTTTTACACCAAGTCAGCCTCAGAGGCAAAGAGTGACCGTGTGAATTTCTCAAGCATTTAGAGGAATTCAGAGCCATGAAAGGGCCATCTATTTTCAGACCAGTTGATTGGGTAATACAGAAATGGACTTAGCTAAAGCAGGTTATAGGATTCGGTGGATATAGCACTACTTACTAAACTCTTGACCTGGGTAATAGGCCAAAGCTTCCTTAACCTAGGAATTCCTTTGGGAAAGGAAATGTCTAAGCTGATAGCTGAAGGGTCATAGCAGGGAGTGGCTTGTGACCCAGATCCCTTTTCTGTAGGCCAAGTGGGTTGTTTTTAAAGATCGTAACAGTTCATCAGGTTCTCAATTATTTGATATAAGGACAGGTGAGGAACGCAATAAAAACCCACCATAGAATGTTTGTAAAATTTCATTTTAATTGATTCCAACCTTCTATTTCCCATTGTCCCCAATCTCTCAGCCCACCTTTTTTTCTTAGCAGAGCTTTGATTACAAAGTGTACATTTTAAGTTGTCAGATATTTTACTTCCTTTCTTTTTACCCTGCTGTGGATACCTGGTGGAACCTGAGACCCGTAGAGGCTTCTTTCAAGATGTTGGTATCAGCGTTTTCTTCTTTCATGATCCTTTAACCTGTCCAGGGGGAAGCTTTCCTGCCCCATTTCCATGGCAGTTTATTTATAGCTCTTTTTCTAGAAAGTGTTACTTTTTACCTCATGCTGCAATTATTCTTTTATTCATTCAACAAATATATGTTTATGTAAATGTCTTATTTTTCCTCTGTCCCCATGGACAGAGGTTTCCTTGAGGGCACAATCTGTGTCTATTACATCTGTTATGCTTCATAGCACTTTCCCTTAATTTGAAACTTAAAAGAAAGAGAAAAAGTCCTTGCCAGGTGGTTGTAGGACCTGAATGAGAGGGTGAGAGGGCAGAATTCATTCAGAACACCTTCCCTCCCCCTCAAAGTACACACATGCTCATGCTTTAAATCTGTTAGTTTGATGATTATAGCCAGGAATTGATTAACTCTTTGGGAAAACAGTTCAGCAGATTTGGTTGAATTTAGTGTTGGTTACCTGCTTGCTTCACAGACATGATACACAGAGTATTGATGGGCTAGACCTATCAGTGCTCTGAATCAGTGTGCTTTGGAACCAGTGTGCCAATAATGAGCTACATGTTAGCCCAAGATACTGATCCCCTCAGCCTTTTGGGTAGCCACGTGGGGCCTGAGTCCTCCTGAGCATCTCCCTTCCTCTGTCAAGCTAGGCACTTCTGGCCCCAAGCAGCTTCACCCACTTACCATGGTGTATTCTACAGATGCAGTAATCTGCTTGTGCGTCAAGACATGAAAAAGCTGAAGCTTGAAGCACTAGCCCAATAACTATCTATAGGCTAGAAATAAACTCATCGACTTTTTCCTTTTCAAGCACCAGAGCACTTTTTTATACCCACCACTCAAACACCTGTAGAGACATCAGTCAAATAGTGGAGTCACAGAATGGTGGCATTAGCAAGGATCTCAGGAGGTTGTCTCAGGCTTCTATAGATGGGGCTAGTACTTGGTGGGGGAGAATGTTGGTATCATTGCTTTTATTACACATGATGAAGTGGTATGGTGACGGGATCTTAAAAGGTCATTTTCATCTTCCTTAAGCCCAGTATCTGATCATGTTATGAGACATCTGCCAAAAGGATTTGTTGTAAAAATTAGTGAGAAAGTCTTAATGACTGAAAAAAAGACTGTGGAGATTTTCATCTTCCTTAAGCCCAGTATCTGATCATGTTATGAGACATCTGCCAAAAGGATTTGCTGTAAAAATTAGTGAGAAAGTCTTAATGACTGAAAAAAAGACTGTGGAGTCTTAGGTTTTTCTGAGGGGGATATGGGATTTGGATATGAAAGGGTCAGTTGTTTCTACATGAAGCAGCACCTTTGTTTACATTTGTCTATCAATATTTCTCCCTATTACTTCCTGCAATTTTTAGGGTCTGATGTGTTGGTAAAATTAAGTGGGAACCCTATGCCTTTACTGACAGTCAGGAATTTTTCCTTTGATCTGGAAAAATTCACTCAAAAAGGCTGAAATCAAGGTTTTGAAATAACAGGTGATGAAACAAAAACTTTCTGTAGAAGAAAGTTGTTCAAACCTGTATTGCTGGTTTATGGCCCCATCAAAGGATTTGTTCGCAACTGTAGAAACCCATGTTTAGAAAGAGAAAAGGAAAATCACAAGGAGTAGTAACAGAAGATTTGGGCTGATACATTCTAACCTTATATGAAACCTGAACCCAGGTGTGTGATTTATGAGAAGGATTCAAACAAATGTGAATTAGTATCAGGAGAATTCTAGAATCAGTTTTTTCCTTGACATAGAACATGATTAGCCTAAGTAAGAATTTTAAATATCCAGATGATCAGGAGAAATGGCCATTAAATTTTTTAACCAAGTTTCTAGATAGAAGAACAAGATTTTATTTTTAAATTGTAAATATAGCAAATGCTTGGTGGAATAAAAATCCTCCAGAAATACAGAAATGTAGAAAATGAAAGTGTTTCCTTTTTTTTGCCCCCTCCCCATGTCATAGAAGCAACCACTATTGGCAGAGAATTTAAGCATCTTACTTAAATATATTCAAGGTAAAATACAGAAGTAGCTTTCTATTTCTAACTCAGCTTAAATAGTCAAAATGTACATTGTTTGCTTGTTCACTACTGGTTCAGATTCAGAATGTTGGCTAGTTTTGAGATCAAAATCAAGACTTAGTCTTTCCTTCATTATGTGACAAAATGTAGAACAAAAAAGCGAACTTACTACAGCCTGCTTATTAAGTCAGAAACCTAAACTCAAACCGCTCATCTTTTACCAGATGGCTTAACTCACAAATGAGGAATGAGTGGGAAAATTAACTTTATTTTTTAAATTGTTTTTTCAAGCAGTTATTGTTTTCCATTTTTCCCCCTTTTAAAAAAAAAGAAGAAAATTGTCATAAGATTATATAATTGGAACTTCTTAACATCTACTCTGATCCTGAGAGAAAAGAATTTATGCAGTGAGGCAAAAGAAAGCTTGAGGCTTTGTTGATGTAGATCTGGAGTCTGTCCAGCCCAGTGAATTTGCTGGAGTGCTGTAGCATATTATGAAAATGTTTAGTGTTCAAAAAAACTTTGATATGCACATCTATTTCATTATTAGTATAATTTTATACTAATCCCTGATTCTGGATGTTTATTTTAATGTATTTTTCCTTAATCTCATTTCAACTAAGGTTTATGGACTTGAAGGCAGGACTTAGAATGGTAACAGGAAAGAGGTATTTCAATGCAAACTAGCTTTTTGTGGGCTATGGACTCTTAGGGAGTCATACAGTTTTTAGCCTGATTATGAGGTAGAGATGATGCTTCTCCTTAACATGCCAATTAGATTTCAAAGTATTTACTGCTCCATGACTTCATTTCTCCTGTGCCCAAGCAATTTTCTTATGTTGATTTGCTACATTAATGTGTCCAGCTAAGAGGGCTCCTCCTTGTGGTTTATCACTGGCCAATAACCTAAGTGAGACCACATATCTGATGAGCCACTGAGAAATGCTGACATTTTCCAGGTGGCAGATCAATGCAGGATTTCTCGTGTTTGGTTTTTAGAAAGTGCTTGGCCACATTTCAGAGAAATTGGAGTTGGGATGAACTTCTGAAGTCTTGTATTCCAACCTCCCGCACAAGGCAAGAGTTCCTTATATGTTCCTGACAGCTGTCCAGCTTTTGCTGGAACCAGGCTCAGCAAATATATTCATCTGTATTCTAATGAACAGTTCTGATTGAGGCAAAAAAAAAAAAAAAGTTGTGACATGCAAGAATAAAGGGAGTGGAAAAGAAATGAATAACTTTGAATATCTACCATTTGTTCAATACTGGACACATTGCCTTCATAACAATCTGTAAAGTAGGTTTTGTAATGCCATTTTACTTATGAAGAAACTAAGGCACAGAGTGACTAATTTGCCCAAGGTCACCTAATTAGTAAGGGTTGGAACGGAGATTCAAGCCAAGGTGA